CGGCCATAGAGAAAGAGTATCTCTCGCAGCAGAGCCTTGTTTTGGAACTCGTGAAGAGCGCCTACAAGGTAGAATAAGTGATATTTGAGTTTATACTAGATCTTAAAGAATATCCTTGTTTGTTTGCGGCTCAAATTTCGAGATTTTAGCAAGGTGAGGGCCTGCACCTTGCCGCAGACGGATCCTACGACAGCCGAGGATACTCGGCTTTGATCGGGAAAGTTGTGCTGGCGGAGGCGCGTACTAAGCTTGTGCTACATACTGAGGTGCTGCACCGATCGGAGACGGGTACGACGTCTGATGGATTGATTACAAGCAAGCATTTTCAATGTTATAAGATCTTGCAGAAGGCATTAGTACGCGCATGGAAGTTGAAGGATTGCGGCGACTTATGCGGTGGGTGCAGGCTCAAGGCTTGCAAATCGGGTCAGTAACAACAGACCGAAGTAGAGCGCTCGGGGCGGCGCTGCGAGAGATGGAGCCGCAAATAGGAGCGATTCCTCACTACTACGACGGGTGGCATCTAGCAAAGTGGCTAGGAAATGAATTGAGGAAGGTATGATATTTCTCTCTGAATAAAACATAATAATAACATAATAAGGTTTCATAGCATCCTTCACTTCGTAGGTCTCCAAATTAGATGGATGTGACGAAATCGGCGCTTGGATTGAGAAGTTGAAAACCCATCTATGGAATGCCATCGAATACGCTGCCGATTCCAACACTGACGTCCGGGCCATCTTCAATACTTGTCTCATGCATGTAAAGGATGTTCATGAGTGGCCACTGGTGAACATATTCATCATTCTACTTGCCACGTGGTTTTCAGCTTCGCAGACAATTTCAGGACGTCCTGACGGGTCCCTACACTCGCTGCAGTCACGGACCACTGGGGGATTCGCGAAGGGATTTCTTTGTTGCCGGGAGTAAGGCTTATGAGAGAGTCCGGAAGGTCATCCTAACTAAGTCCTTCCAAAGAGATTTGCCAAAAGCAAGCCCCTATGGAGGAACCTCCATATGCGAGGCGAAGAATGCATTGGATAGAATTTACTGCCGCAAGGAGATTTTCTATCCAATTGCGACTTATCCACTTTACACCATGATGGCTACAATGCATATCAATACATTGCGGCTGGCGGAACATAGTGGAGAAAGGAGTGTGTTGAAGACAAGGGAGATCCAGCGAAAGTACCTATCAAGGAAATCGAAGCTGGAGCTCAAATCTTCAGCCAAACATCTATGGAGGGACTTAGTTCTAGATGAACTTCTCAGGAGTCGCCTCAAAGCTTTGCAGGAAAGGCGCGAAGACTCGTCCGAGGCAATCGCGGAGCTCATGGCCGCTGACGATAGTTACGAATGTGAGCTGTAGAGGTGAGCACATTTATTAGAAACATTTATTGTTCATACAATACTACTGCGCCACTCTTCTTCATCGCACTCATTGCTTCCGCTACTGCCACACTCCTATAACGGTTTGTAATAATGTGGTAATACGATAAAAATCTTGAATCCTTGAACCTGTCTTACCTTGAAACCCACATAGTTCCCACCTTCAGAGGGGAACTCCTTCATTATGGCGCCTCGAACACAGGCAGGAAGTTCGAACCTCCTACCTATGCCGAGACGTCCATAACACCATAATACAAAAGAGCGGTAGGCGCAGTAACGGAAGCATCTAAACAGACAAAGTGGGGAAGAGTTGTTGAACCTCTGCATGATAACTTACTTATTTTCATCTTCCACATCCCGCCTGAACTTTTTCTTCTCTATCCTCATTTGCTCAAGCATGACGCGAAGCACCTGAGTCAACTACATATAGTGAGAGTTTATGCTTTTGCATAGTAATAACATTAGATATACCTCGCGATCTAGAGCCATTTTATAGAAAGAGGGGTGGCGAACGATGCAGTCTTCAGATTCCTCCACTTTCCTGCGCAACTTCCTCAGAGCTTCATTTTCGTCGCCTGCATGTTCACCACCTCCACTGCTGTCGAGGGCCTCTCTGCAGCACACGTTTTCGCGTACCGTAGTAAACGGCACGCAGGACCCACAAGAGCACCATTCGGTAGTGCCCATCCTCGAAGGGGAGAGATCCCTCGACAGCAAAAGACAGTAGCTAAACAGGATGCGACAATTATATGCTGTTACTAGTATATTATGCTGGTGAAAGGCTTACCTCTCACTCATCCTTGCCCGTTTACGCGCTAACTTTTCCTCACCCCTCTTACGTAAGCGCTGTATCTGCTCTGGGTCGGGGTCCTCCATTACCACAGGGCAGGGCATTCCTTCGCCGCTCGACATCTGGTTATGAAGTACAATACCTTAAGTATATTCACCAAACCAAGTATTCGG